TATTCTAAGCGTCAGGTAACTCTGCATCCAGTTTTGGAAGTCGTAGTCTTTTGTCGGTCACATTAACTTCAATCTTTTCAACATCTCCAGCCGCTTGCGTTCTGCAAAAAAAAATTAATTAATTACTTATTTAACTAAAATGTTTCTAATTTTTTACTCACATCGCCTTTAAAACATGCAATTTGGGTATATTTTTTGTATAAGCTTTTACGCCTGCAGCCTCCTGCTCTGCAAGTTCCTTTGGATGCAAATGCTTTTTGTGATAACGACAACTTGAACCAGTTGAAAAAGTTTTATCACAGAAGTCACAGGAATAAGGTTTCAGACCAGTATGCGTAATAAGATGGTTTTTTAGATTTTTTGTTCGCTTAAATCTGCGCCCGCAATAATTACATTTGTATGGCATTTCATCAGAGTGCACTTTCATGTGATTCAACAGTGCCTTTGATGTACTCAGCTCAATTCCACATTCGCCACAGATATGTTTATCGCCATGGATTTCCAAGTGTCTCTATATGAAAAAAATTAACCCGTTTCTTCAATCCCCAATATATGTATTATAAATTAACTTACCTTCAAAGTCTGTTTTCTTTTGAAATGTTTGCCACATTCTTTGCATTCATATGCACCTTGGCCCGTATGTGTGGCCATATGTTCGATAATCTTATGTTTAGTGCGCATACTTTCACCGCATTCTTCACAAATGAATGAACCTACGCCTTCGTGCTCAGCTTTTATGTGATTCTCCGCGACTTTGGCTCCTTTAAATGTTCTATCACAATGTGGACATGGATAAATTTTTGGTGCATGCATTCTTTTTATATGGCGTTCCAGCTCTTTCTTAAACTTCAACGATTCACTACAGTGCGGGCATCTCCATACCGCTGGCGCTTCCGTGCCGTGCTTGCGCCTCATGTGGCGTGCAAAGTTTCTGCTTTGTATAAAACGTTGTTGGCAAATGTTACAAGAATATGTGCCTTCTTTGGACTCTTCGCCGTCAAGCGAATTTGAATTTTTACTATTTTTACGCACTTTCTTTGATATAACTTGTTCTTCAAAATCTTCGGTGTCAGATGAAAAGCTACCGCTACTGCTGCTGCTGTCACTGCCTTCGTTCATCTGGGCGCATTCCCCCACACTCTGGTTACCTCTATTGACTGTATCNAAATTAATTAATTACTTATTTAACTAAAATGCTTCTAATTTTTTACTCACATCGCCTTTAAAACATGCAATTTGGGTATATTTTTTGTATAAGCTTTTACGCCTGCAGCCTCCTGCTCTGCAAGTTCCTTTGGATGCAAATGCTTTTTGTGATAACGACAACTTGAACCAGTTGAAAAAGTTTTATCACAGAAGTCACAGGAATAAGGTTTCAGACCAGTATGCGTAATAAGATGGTTTTTTAGATTTTTTGTTCGCTTAAATCTGCGCCCGCAATAATTACATTTGTATGGCATTTCATCAGAGTGCACTTTCATGTGATTCAACAGTGCCTTTGATGTACTCAGCTCAATTCCACATTCGCCACAGATATGTTTATCGCCATGGATTTCCAAGTGTCTCTATATGAAAAAAATTAACCGGTTTCTTCAATCCCCAATATATGTATTATAAATTAACTTACCTTCAAAGTCTGTTTTCTTTTGAAATGTTTGCCACATTCTTTGCATTCATATGCACCTTGGCCCGTATGTGTGGCCATATGTTCGATAATCTTATGTTTAGTGCGCATACTTTCACCGCATTCTTCACAAATGAATGAACCTACGCCTTCGTGCTCAGCTTTTATGTGATTCTCCGCGACTTTGGCTCCTTTAAATGTTCTATCACAATGTGGACATGGATAAATTTTTGGTGCATGCATTCTCTTTATATGGCGTTCCAGCTCTTTCTTAAACTTCAACGATTCACTACAGTGCGGACATCTCCATACTGCTGGCGCTTCCGTGCCGTGCTTGCGCCTCATGTGGCGTGCAAAGTTTCTGCTTTGTATAAAACGTTGTTGGCAAATGTTACAAGAATATGTGCCTTCTTTGGACTCTTCGCCGTCAAGCGAATTTGAATTTTTACTATTTTTACGCACTTTCTTTGATATAACTTGTTCTTCAAAATCTTCGGTGTCAGATGAAAAGCTACCGCTACTGCTGCTGCTGTCACTGCCTTCGTTCATCTGGGCGCATTCCCCCACACTCTGGTTACCTCTATTGACTGTATCAGAAAGTTCTACCTTGATTTCAGTGGCTTGCACTAAATCTTTTGCTTCCTCTTCTTCCATATCTTCATCTCCACCGTCAGTGATTGATGCATCAGCAATAAAAACTTGTTCAATGTCCGGGGTAGTTGTTGACGTTTCCATATCATGAATTAAGAGGGGTTTAAACGGTTCCCATTCAAATAGCCCGTATTTGTGATATAGCTCTTTAAAAGCAATTTCGCCGGTATCACTTGTGTTTATCAAATCATGGTACATTTTTTGCACTTTTCTCACATGCTCAGCATATTTCTCCAGCGATGAAAGCGTAGCGTAGCATTCCGTACATAGCAGGAGAGGTTGTTCATCCTTGGGCTTTACCTATACGAGTAAAGGATAACGATAAAAAAATATTTGCACTCATTCATTTAGTAAAAGAAAAAAACACGTACATTGATATGAAAGTATTCTTCTACAGCTAGAGGAATATTGATATTCGAATCCAGAGCCAATGGCGTTTCTTCAGTGAATATTTCGAGGTAATTGCCATCATGTTTCGCGCAAAGGCGACACCAACGCTGCCATTCCTTTATTGTTGCGTCCATTGTGCACATTTCAGCCTTTCGCAGCCTCGGAGTACGAATTTGTAGGAAAATATGTGGTATAATTTGATTTTTATTAAAAGTTGTTAACTTTTTATTTATATATCCGTCAATTCTTTGTTTACTTCTTCAATTTCCTCGGCTGTCATTGCAGTTTAATTCCTAAAACATCACGATTTTATACTACGTTTACACGCTACCTTCTAACAAGGGATTATTTCCAAGTCAAATGTAGAACGTTTCGTTAATTTATGGGCTGTTTTTGCTTACGCGTAAAAGCACATTTAGCGCATTTNCGTTTAGTTCCTAAAACATCACGATTTTATACTACGTTTACACGCTACTTTCTAACAAGGGATTATTTCCAAATCAAATGTAGAACGTTTCGTCAATTTATGGGCTGTTTTTGCTTACGCGTAAAACCACATTTAGCTCTAAATGCTACTGTAAATGTATATTTATCCATACAAAATTCGTCACCTAAATGCAATTAAATGCAACTCCATTTTTGCATTAAGTCTGTGTGCGAGTTGACCTAAATTTTAGTACCTAAACTAATATTCCACTGGAAATTTCCAGCACTGCTACAATTAAGGAAAACAGATGCTCAAACCGTGCGAGTTCGTTTGACAACCTAAATTGTTTGTTTTGGAATTTGAATTTGTTTGTTAATAAATATATGCTTTTGACAAACAGCCGTGTTCCAGTCGCTTATTTAGATCCGTAACAATTGCGATCAATTATCACGCGGAAGATAATGTGCAAAAAACCCTACTGCAAAGGAAAAAATAAATTTTAAACCAAAAAATTCAATACAAAAACTTGAATTGTTTTAACCATAACCGAACATTTGTTTGTGTATATATTCATTTGTCGGTGCTGTCAATTAAAATTTCCTCACTTAATTAGGAAACAAAACAAA